ATCTATCTATAAAATAAAAATAAAAATATCTATCTATCTATATATTTTAAAAGTTATTATTTCTCCATACAAAATGTCTCTCAGAACTTAGCCAGAATTTAGTTTTAAAATTGTAGAAGACAAAACAAAATTTCATTATGCAAAATGAAATGATATCGAATTAAAAGGCACTTTAAACATAAATATATTATAATATAATATATATTATTAAACATAAATACTTTATACGTCTCCTTATCTTTCATATCTGAGCTTCTACAAAATCATTTTAAGCTAATCGTTTTCTGACATGAGCACCTTCAATTTTATTTATAGACAATAAAAGAACAGCTTAATTGGGATATAAAAAAATAGATGGCAACATATAAAAAATAGACCTTCGAGTCTCTCAAAGAACAGATACATATATTATTCGTTATACGTGTCATTATGACCATTTAACGTCGCTGAATGAAATTTTTTTTCATCTTCTAATTACGTGGAACAACTCGTTTGATAGATACTATGACACTTAGTGTCATTCAAGATACATATTATTTAAAATTATTTTAAAATTACCCAACGTAATGTTAATTTACAATTAACCCTTTGCACTCTAGAGGCGTCTCTCAGTCGCCATTTAATCAGATTCTAGAGATGGGTGTTAATTAATATATCAAATTTACAATTACCCAACGATGCGTGGAATATCGAAGTAAAATAATTCTACGTCTCAATTTGCATACGATTTCTTATTTACCGTTTTGAAAATATCGTCGACTTTATGACAGAAAATCTTCCTTTATTATTATTATATTATTATTTAATATTAATTATTTATTTAATTATTTATTATATTTATTAATTAATTATTTTTCTGTAACGAAAAAATCGCCGAGTGTAGAGGGTTAATAATTTCGACCTACATAGGGTGGACAAATTGAATTGTTCTTTAATATAACATTGTATTTTAACATTTAATGCTTCTGTTTAGTGGATGATATCTACTAAAGAAAGTAAAGAAATGACTGTAAGTAATCCACTTACTTCGTACTAATATGGTACTAAAAGAGTTAATACCGAAAGAAAACAGTATGGTTATGAAGATGTGAAATAATTTTTAAAACATATAGAATATAGATGGTTTTGAAACTCTCACATCACGTGGAATTATACAGACTTAAATTATTTGTGTGATCTAAATAAGTTAAGTAACTCAAATAACTTAAATAACTTAAATAATTTAAAATCTCAAGTAAAATCGATTATACAATCCTATAGCAATTCTATAGCTTCTATCCCTATTAATTATGCGAAAAAATTAGCTCACTACGATATTAGTCGAAATTGTCAATAAAACTAAATTTTTCAGTCAAAACTCTATTAAAATTGAAATGGCTATAGCAATCCAATAGGTTCTATCCCTATTATTTATGCAAAATATTAGCTCACCACGATATTAGCCGAAAATGTCAATAAAACTAAATTTTTCAGTGAAAAACCTATTAGAATTAGAATGGCTATAGCAATCCAATAGGTTCTATCCCAATTGTTTATGCAAAGAAATTAGCTCACCATGATATTAGTCGAAAATGTCAATAAAACTAAATTTTTCAGTCAAAACTCTATTAAAATTGAAATGGCTATAACAATCCAATAGGTTCTATCCCTATTATTTATGCAAAATATTAGCTCACCACGATATTAGCCGAAAATGTCAATAAAACTAAATTTTTCAGTGAAAAAGCTAGAATTAGAATGGCTATAGCAATCCAATAGGTTCTATCCCTATTATTTATGCAAAGAAATTAGCTCACCACGATATTAGTCGAAAATGTCAATAAAACTAAATTTTTCAGTCAAAAATTTATTAAAATTGGAATGACTATAGCAGTCCAATAGGTTCTATCCCTATTATTTATGCAAAATATTAGTCGAAAATGTCAATAAAACTAAATTTTTCAGTGAAAAACCTATTAAAATTGGAATGGCTATAGCAATCCAGTAGGTTCTACCCCTATTATTTATGCAAAAAGATAAGCTCACCACGATATCAGTCGAAAATGTCAAATCGATTTTGCGCCAACACATACATATCAATCAACTTCCACTATCTCCCAGAAAAACCAAAGAAGAAAAGTAAAAAGCCGATGGGAACATGAAACAAAACCATTAAAGTCACTATAAACGTTAGCTACACCGACAGCGCATTATTAGAAAACATACTCTGCACTAATCTGCGATCTGAAATTAATTGCAGTTTCGTGTAAGAACCCATGTAATACCGCATAACAGACTTTTCCCTCAGCCTAAACGAAAAAAGGTACAAATAAAAACTCACAAATAACACCCTTATCCAATTAAACCTTAGTCGAACTAACAGCCGTCCATCAACTCTCGTCCACATTAAAAACCCTGTTTTCACGTTTCAAACCCGATTTAAATCCCCTCCTACGTCACTTCCTCTCTCTCTCTCTCTCTCACTTTATCTATCTATCTCTATCTCCCCTTTGAGAGAAGCCATCGAACCGCGAAGACAATTGTTTGAGAACCTCTGCGGCGAATCAGCACCGAGCTTCCTAGATACCCAGAGATAACGCGATTATCATTCAGTCGAGCCATGCCTCTCTTCGCTCCTTCCTTGTTCCCCTCGACGTCCGCTAGCTAGCTTACTCGCTCGCTCGCACGCTCGCGCCTCGCCGGGCGTACTTTTCCTCGCGGCTGGCTACTTCCTTTATTTTCTCCCGGGCATCCGGCCGACGCGCTCGCGATTTCCGGAAGCGGGTAAGGCGAGAGCCGGGGCACCGGCGTTCATTCACAAAGGCGCTGGCGTGCCGCGTACGAATCACGTGCTAGCCATGGCACACGTGACTCGTGAATTTCGAGCAGCGTGAAAGAATACGCGTACGACGCTCGAGACGTTCTCCGCCGAGGGATTCACGGTTGTATTATTCCTCGCCGGGGCCGGGCAGGGGGAAGGGACGAGAGAGGGTGAGGGAGGAAAATAAAAGAGGAAGGAATCTCCATGGTGGAACGATGAAAGGTAGCACGGAGGTGTTTGAAGATAATATCGGTTAGAGAAAAGGTGGTCTAAGGTTTTCGTTGCTCCTTTTTCGTAATTGACGAGGGAGCAAGAGGTAATGAGATATTAAGTGGCGCGGATGACGGGATTAGCTTGATGCTGGGGAGGTAACGGTATACTGTGCGAATTTTGAACCCCGTTTTAGGGATATTCGAGGGTGTTCGTGGTCTACTGCTTAGGGATTTGAAATATTTGAAGAGTTTAATAAGTGTGAGTAGTTTGACTCTTTGCACTCGACGACATTTTGGCTAAAGAAGGGTACGAGTTGACAAATTTTCTGCTATAAGGCTGCAGATAACTTTTGAGCAATAAATAAGAAATCGTATAATAATTAACACCCAGAATTATTTGACTTCGATACCTTGCGCACTGTTACATTGTTTTAAATTTGATATATTAATTAATATCGAGCTTCGAAATTTTATCTAATGGTGACTGAAGGGCGCCTCTAGAGTGCAAAGGGTTAAAAATGTTTGTGTTTGATGATGTTGATATATGATCGAATTTAGATGACGTGTAGTTATTGTGAATTCTGTTTAATTTTGTTAAATGCAGCTAATTTATGATGGAAGTAAATAATGTGTAGTAATATTAAATTTGTAAAATAATTATTGCTTCGTTGAATTTAATTCAAGGGAGTGAGTTTATAGGGACGTGTACAATTTATTAGTGTGAAAGGTACAAATTAACCTTTTGTTAAATTTTTCTGCTATAAAGCTGATGATATTTTTTGAGCAGTAAATAACAAATTGTATAATAATTAACAAGTAGAATTATTTAATTTTGATACCTCGCACACTGTTATGTTATTTTAAATTTGATATATTAATTAATATCGAGCTTCTTATGGGGTCATATAGATATATGAATTTTATACTAATTTAGAAAATTTAATATATAATCTGTGCATATTAATTTTTATGGACGAAACTGACTTTCTTTTAAATTCATTGGTTCTATAGAATATCACAGTGATTACAAATTTTTAGTTCACAATGTACAGTACGAAAATTCTAGAGTACCGTAATAAAATTTGAAGTAATAGCAAAATTCTTATGGGGACATGTAAATATATGAATTTTATATTAACCTAAATAAAGAGTAAATTTAATATATAATTTGTGCATATTAATTTTGATGGACGAAACTGACTTTCTTCTAAATTCATTGGTTCTATAGAATATCACAATGATTACAAATTTTTAGTTCACAATGTATGGTACGAAAATTGTATAGTACCCTAATAAAATTTGCAGTAATAGCAAAATTCTTGTATTGTGACAATAATCTATTAGAAAATAAATATAAGATAAATAAAATACAATAAATAATAATACTGCTTCCAATAAAAATGGAAATAAATAAAAATAATATCCAAATGAAACTAAATGTAAACACTTCCACGCTATAAGATAAATAATAATACTGCTTCCAATAAGAATGGAAATAAATAAAAATAATATCCACTAAAACTGAATGTAAACACTTCCCAATAAAGATAAATAACTCTTAATAGAAAATAACAAATAAATAAGCAGCACCTGAAAGAATCACAACTTTCTCCCTATCTTGTTCTCAAATCCTCGACAAACCTGGCAATCGGGACCCCAAAAACCGCAAGATTCGAAGCACAACCGCTTCAACAACTCGCCAAGAAGAAAAACGAAGAAGGAAATGAAAAATAAAAAAGGAATCGAATCTTTCCGAAAAAGAGTACCACCTAAAAGTCTCTCCCGAGCCTTTTAATCAATCCCCTGGATGGAAGGAAACAGGCTACGATGCAGGAGAGAATTTTCAAGCGAACAGCTCGTCGAACGGTCTGGCGAGCATGGATCGGGGGACTCAACGAAAACAGGAGAAAAACGAAGGATAAATCCTTGAACCGGCAGACTGGGCTCGCGTGATATAAAGCACTTACTGATATAACTCGTGCACTTACGCGTTGGACTTAATCCGTTGCTCGTTGTATCTCCGATGAAAGTCAAGCAGTTCCTGCACCAGACCGGTCTCCATCATGGCGTTGACTCTGCTGTCCAGCCGATCCTCCAGGATCTTCTGCAACAATTTTGGAGAAACAGGGATCGAATTAATTGACCGAGATCCAACAACGTTTCGTCTATATTAACACTAGAACAACCGACGATTGACGTATGCCTACTTCTACAGGAGGGGTCAAAATGACTTGTTTTTCATAAATTCATAAGTCATTTAAGAAAAGACATAGCAATTCTTACGTTTTTATGTACTTTTCTATTTTCTGTGTGAAAATTGAATATAAACTGAATAACAATAATTTAAAAAATAATTACGCGTAAAAGTCAAAGACATTTTTTGCATGTTACAATTATTTTAGCAGAGCATCTACTATAGACTCGTTTATGCATGTACCACAAATATTGTTCAATTTTATAATATTATTAAATATCTCGTCACTCGATCACAATGTTCGGCTTGCTAAAGACGAGATATCTCGTCAC